CCGCATATATCAATTTTTGATATCATACCCCGTTGATATCCCTATCAACACATAATCGGATTTTATTCTTAATTAAATGTACCTCGCTGATATCAACATCAATATAAATTAGTATTTTAAAATTTAAATTCTGATATACAATATTTACTATGCAATGTCTCTTTATAATATGATTTGCGTCCTATTGTGTGCTAAAGTATATTGCTGAAAGTGGACAAATTGAACATAAAAAATGACAGTTTAATATTTCGTAATCATTTCATGTGCCATCGCATTATATAATAATAAATGATTGAATATATGGAGAAAGAAGAAAGAGGGTTTGTTATAAATAAAGTTTAAACACGAGTATCGTAATATTACAGATGACGTCATTAAACCCTATGATATGATATCCAACCCGATATTAATATGAAATCGGCCGGTCCCGTGAGGTTGGTATTTAAATAGTATCTATAACCCCCGAACAACTTTACCAATTAAAAAAACCAAAACCATTATTTCCAGACTTTTTAGTGATTGACGAAGATAATATTCATATTTTGATACAAAAAGTGTACAGCGATATACTCGTTTTCACACATTTATAAAACACGCAAACATGCCTTCTTTCGAGAGTTTTGCATCGAAGGTTAATCGGCATTTTGGCTTCTCGTAAGAAAATCGTAACACGTTTGTCACAACACGGTTTTGTCATAATAAAAGTTCATAAAAGCAAATTCAGATTAATAAAGAAACTTTGTTGAGAAAAGAGCTTTCAATCGATGTAAATAATAACTATTTATTTAACACTATTTGAAAACCATTCAAAACAGTAACGTGACCGTATTGCAACATAATCTTGTGGGATTTTTTGATTATCGACTGTGTATTTGTTATTATTATGTAAACCCATGGATGAGACATATGATACAAGTGAACTTGACATGTAAATGGGAGTGGCTAAATTTGTCATAGGTTGAAACGAAAAGAATTTGAATCCTGACATGCAGGTTGACTCTATTGTGTGTTAGCTTGAAGAGTTGAGGTAAATCCGATTGCCATGCTAGAAATCTTTATTATTATTTTTTACTGGGAATTCAAAATTAATTAGCAAATATTTTTATTTCGTTTATTTCTCACACACATTCATCTTGTATTTCTACATTCAGAAGAATCTATAATTTACATTTCAACAGTAATAGAATCAAACTAAGAGTATAAATATTATTTAAATAAAAATCCTTTGGCAATTACAATGTATAATTATCATTCTGAGGTAGAGCTTTCAGAGGATGCGGCACCAATGCACAAGAGATATCTCCCCACCATGTGTCACGATGTTCTTTGTACCATGTAACTGGAAAAGAATGTAGCCATTAGTAATTCGTTTTTATGAAATAAGCATCTTTACATTTCATCTGTCATCAATACTAAGAGCGAAATCAACACTTACTCGTCTTTATCAGCCCTTCCTCCCAACCCATTTTTGGTTTCCATCCCAGTTCCTTCAATTTCCTATAATCCACAGCATACCTTCTATCATTAAATGCCCGATCTTGAACAAACTCTATGTGATCCGCCTCCTTGTACCCAAACTGCCTTATTAGTGTCCGTGCGAGGTCTAAATTAGATATCTCGAAGTTGGACCCGATATTGTAGATCTCTCCAATCTGTCCGTGATGGAGGATAATGTCTAACGCATTGGCCACGTCTCCTGCGTAGAGATATTTACGCGAGTTGGAGCCATCGCCATGGACATAACTAGAATGCCATATTAGGGTTGGTGAGTATGGATCCGGTTGATATTTTTAGAAGAGGTCTTTTAAGAGGCACTATACTTACCACTTACCCCCACGGAGGAGACTGCATATGAATTTGGAGCAAATTTTCTCAGGATATTGATAAGGTCCATAGACATTGTTGCTCCTTGTAATTATGATAGGAAGCCCGAAAGATTTATGATACGCCTTAACAAGGCATTCAGCAGCAGCCTTGGTCGCAGAATACGGATTTGACGGTGCTAGAATAGATTCTTCATGACAGTCAGGCTGCAAATATTTAACCATACTAGACGCATCAGAATATTTTCACGGGCAAAAATATATCCACTTTTTCATATTACGTCAGCTATTTTCTACTTACACTGTTCTTTGCCACCTCTCCGTATACCTCATCCGTACTAACATGGATAAATCTTTTAATCCCATGCACCTTAGCCGCCTCCAACATGACATGTGTACCCATAACATTATTCTTTGTGAACTCGAAGGAATCACCAAATGAATTATCCACGTGTGTCTGAGCAGCGAGATGAAATATCGTGTCGATCGACTTCTCGCGGAGGATGAAAGACATGAAATCGGAGGAAGTTATGTCGCCCTTTGAATTATATTAGAAACGAGGTGGTTGCTGCAGGCGTAAGTGAAAGGGTGTTTGATGAATGTCAGCTAGGGGAGTTTATCTCTCCTTTAATTGTTTATGGAGAAATTGACAAGGGAAGCAGGAAATCTGAGGCAAATCAAGGTGATCGTTCGAAAATAGAAGCAGAAAACTATGGAATAAAGAAACATATTGATAGGAGAAGACAGAGAACAGTAAAGAGGGTGATGTCGCGAGGCAGGGTTAAGGAGGAAAGGAAGGGACGTATAGGAACAAAGAGCAGCATAAAGCAAATTCAAAGTAAAAACTGAAATATGTAAATA